GCTGTCCAGGCCTACACGAGATAAAGAGGGATAATCCCCCTCGATCCCAAATCATTGAGGCCAATTTCTAGCCATGGAATAATGGCGCGTGGCGCAACAAAATCCCCGCAATTTTGTTGCTGCAACTAAATTGCATTGTCTGATACAGGCTTTAGTTCTTGTCCCTTGTCCTCTTGTCTGCTGTAATAGGTATAGTGGGTATAACTATGTTTAGGTAGATGTGACGCAAAATTGGAAATCTCTTTAGACATATCGTTTTAAACATTTTGCATCAATATTCATTATTTTATATGCACCTTACAATACCCACAACTGCACACACTACAAATTATCACATAAAATAAAGTGAAAGTAAAGATGAAGAACAACGAAACCAAGCAAACTGGCAAACCGCAAACCTAACCTAACATAATACGAATTGAGACGACACACGGGAAACAAATAAACTCGGGCTGTTACGCGCAGTCTACGCAAGTCAGGAACATACATTTTTTCTAGACTTGTGTTATAAATATGCTACCACATTATTTTTTCTAATTATGTCTTTGTATAACAAAGGCAAATGAACTAACGCTTGAGAGGGATTGGGGATTGAGAGCAAAATTTAACTAATGCCGAATGTTCCATAAGATAAGCAAAAATAGCAGTGTTGTTCATCTGTTATGTTTCCGAGATCGAAAGGGAATGTTTCGAGTAATTTTCAAACTCTCTTCAATTGTAACGTTTCGGCTATGTTTCACTACATAAGTTTTCAAGTGCTACATTTCTGTAATGAAACAGAAACGTTTCTAGTTAATGTTTCAAATGTTTAGTAAAACATCTCATTTGCAATGTTCCATTTACGTTTCGTGTTTAGTGGGGTGCAATCGTGTTCTGCGGTAAATTGCATAAAGACACGTTTAACTGGAGGAAAAATTTAATTTTATGGGTAGGAAAGAAGTTATGTTGGTACCAACATGTTTATACTTTTTGCATCTTTCTAAAAATAATGACCAAGCAGAGTTGTCTCCGATGATAACATATTAGATTACATTATTTTCCCCATCCTCAAAATAAAATGTCATTTTAACGTCCAAATTTTGCCGCTTTTAAATGTGTTATTCTTCAAACTATTTTTTAACATCAAACCGAATATAACGAAAAAGTTTGCTTAGCAAAAATTCCCTTCAAATTATATGGTGAACGAAGAATGCATCGACATAGTTTCAATTTATACAGTTCTGCAAAGCAAGAAAATATGAAATATTTGAAACAACTACCTCAGAAAATCTTGCAGTAATTTTAACCGATCGAGTTTACGATATGAGGAAAATAAACGGAGAATACATAAATAAGGCATTATAAAAAACATTTGGAATATTATAGCTAAAACAATTCAAATATTGTACTGTTACGTTAGTCCAGTAATAATAATGAACACTTTTACATACCTACACTACTGGAAAAAATGAATTTTTCTTGTCTTTTGGTCTCTATATTATTTTTATAAAGTCTTTGAATACGGCCCAACAGAAAAAAGGGGTAAGGAATCGAGTATAGCTAGCTGATTGGTTGAATTAAATGTAGCGCGCTGCAGTCGAAATTCTGTGAACGAAGCTTAAGCCCTTACTAGCTCCATCTCTCTCGCACACGTCTGAGCGATTACCAAGGATTTTATCCTTGAGCGATTACCGTTTATATAGGCAAAATGACAGTTGGGCGAGTCCAGTACAGTGTTACCAGATCTCCTGTTTTAACAGGAGATCTCCTGTTTTCACTATCACTCTCCTGTTCTACTGTTTTCACAATGAGATCTCCTGTTTTTAGTCTCAATGTCTATTCTTCTGGTTTCTCTATGAAATCTTCTGTTGATTATACTAATTTTCCTCAGAATAAGAATATTTTAGTACGACACTGTTCTCTAACGGCACTGTGTTCGTCACTTGTTAATATTTTTAGTCCTGTTATATTTTCTGTAGCCGAGTTCATGCAAGATCTTTTACTGATCTTGCAGTTCATGTACATATTTAAATTTTAAATCCGCAATTCGCGTTTATATGAACTGGGCCTAACAGAAGGCGTTTCGTTTCGTTCGTTTACTTCAGCGGGATTCTGGGATTTTTTATTTTGACAACTGACAGTTGTCAAATCACGTGACGTACCGATGTAATTGCAAACTATTAAACGAACTCCTACATTTATATATTATATAAATATAATATTTTGCTATATTTTGTGCATGTGTTCCTCTATTAAAAAATATATTTATTAAAATCTCCTGTTGAAAAAAGAAATCTCCTGTTTTTTTGGCTACATTTCTACTGTTGACATAAATTTCCATCTGGCAACACTGGTCCAGTAGTTTATAAGGTCTATGGATCAGGGAGACTATTCTCCATGTGTGAGATGATTAATTTGAATGATGATTGTTGTTGTTAAGATTGTTAGGTTATTTCCGAAATGCTCCCGATTTTGAAAATGTTCTAAAAAATGATTACATTTAAAAAATAAGAATGATTTCTCCCATGATTGTTTACAACTTTGCTTTCAGGAAAAACATATTTTCAAGGGATGTATATGGTACTTTTTTTATTGTAAGTAGGTACCTCCTTAAAAAGTTTACATAACAAGTTGACAATTAATTAATTTACTTTTTTTAAGCTGAAAAGACAATGTGCATCTCGATATCCACGATCAGCAAGTATAGAGAAACATGGAGAACAACCTGTTATTGTTGTACATGAATATGATAATGTAGATATAATTGGCCCACCAGATACAGTTTCAAATTTACGACCAATAATTAGAAGAAATTTAAGTAATGAAACTCCACTACAAAAGAAACTTCGTGAAATGCAAAATACCACCCAAGAATGGAATCAACATTTTTGGTCAGACCATAATACAAAGTTTATTAAGGTAATTAATTCTAATATAGTCAAGTTATGTTATATCTAACTGATGTTTGGTATTATTAGGAACGACAAAAGTATATTGATTTACGTTTGAAAAAAGGTAGTGAAAACCAGTTAACAGCAGAGGAAATGAGTGAATTTTATAAAAAGTTTTTGGATGAAAATTGGCAAACTCATGTTAAATATAATTTTGAATGGTATAAGAAAAATTTTACATTATTGTTGTTTGCTTTGCAAGTCACTATAGAGAACCTGACACGAAAGGTTTTATAGCAACATTAACACTGTTATAAGTACGTAATTTTATAATTCATTCATTATTAGGTAGGTGTTGTAATTTTCTTGTTGAAATAAAAATTCAAAATATATAGTGAATCTTTACTTTGCGACAACTTTATTTGTGTATGCCGATATTACACCACTAATTAACAAATAAAGGAGTAATATGGATATCTTCATCTTGTTACTTTTGGGCATAGCAGAATTATAGTTTATGTGAAGTATGATCAGTATAAATCAAAAATACAATAAGCATATAAAAAAAATTATTTTGGATGTACTTATTTAAAGTAAAATATTTCACGAATTATATCAAACCTATACAGGCAACTCATCTGATTGTTTTAATATTTTGGGGTTAATGTCAGGTTCTTCATAATTTTGTTTTAATACACATCTTGAGCCATTAGAGTAAGAAGTATGAAATGATGACGTAGTAGCTGGGTTTGATAGACTGATTCCATTATTCCTTTTGAATATTTCATTTACTGGAACATCGACTTCTAAATCACTCGTGATTGAATTTATAGAAAATATCTAAAATAAATATTGGTTATCATGCACTCTCTTATCTTAATATTTTTTTAACTTACTTTGGATTTAACAATCTTTAATTCCTCTTCTTTATCATGTAACATTTTAGTTAACATATTTTGGACTTTCTTTTGGGTATCCACTTGCTTTTGGAAGTCAGATACGGTGTCTAATAGCTTCTGTGTAGCAAATTTTGCTGCACGAATTGCTAACTCCTTTTCATTGGCTAAATTTTCCTTTTGTGACTCCCACTCTTGTTTCTGTTGTTCAACTTGTTTCTGTAAATTAGCAATAGCCTCACGTTCTTCATCACTGTACTGTTCTGAGTCACAGTATTCCTGGAGCAATACCTGGAGGTCTTCCATTTCTCTGGATAGCAGCGTTTTTTGGTTCTCCAGTTTCTTAATACACACATAATAACAAAGAAATATAAATTATGTATATTTACTCCTGTTTGTAACTCTAGTTTTTGTATAAACTGTCACTTATCTTTAAATTAATATTTTGTAAATTATTACCGTAATATTTGATATATTATAATTTCCATATATTTACTAAAGTAAATTTAAACATTTTGTTCTTAATGACTGTTCAGATTGGAAAGTACCTATTTGGAAATTTTTTTTTGGTACCTAATTTAAAACAAGATTTTCTGGAAATCTAAAATCATTTACAATATTTTCAATTATGATTTTTAATTATACTGTTTAACACAAAAAAAGTTCAATTTTTTATGTTAAGATGTTCCTTCAATTTTTACTATAGACCAGGCTCTATTAGTTTTAGAAATATATGTGAATATGTTAAAAAGTGAATATTTCTGCTTTGTAGTAATTTTTTTTATACATATGAAAATTAAATTTAAATAGTATTAGATTTCGATATTGAGTTATAAATATTACTTTTTTATTTTAAATTTTATAGATGTACAAAAGCAGAATCTGAAATACCAATTCATTCAAACAAATAAACAATGAGAATATTGTTAAATAATTGTTTAACTTTGGGTTATTTTTTAAGCATTCACAATTAATTAACAGTAAAAAAATCTTTTCTATTAAAAAAATATTCAACATATTTGACATTTTATTATTACAAAAAACTGTTTTACTAAAAAATTCTAGAAAGTAGGAAAATACATGTAATGAATGTAATTATCTCAAAAATTAAGACATATCAGGGTGTTCAGAAACAAAAAGAAAAGCTTCCTTGAATAAAATTAAAACAATTTACTTATATCAAATTTACATTAGTACAATTTTATTTCCTTGAAAAGTTATGGAACTTCAAAACAATTTCTTCTCATTTATTTTAAAAAAATAATTTCATTAATTTTTAAGATATTTGCAAGGATATTTCAGTAATATTTGTTTGCGTCGGGTAGGTTCGAGGAGAGTAGGCAAAAAGGGCCCACTTGTGGCCTAATTGCCAGGCTGAGGCCGCCCCTTTTCACTACTACTACTAAATATTTAGTGTTTAAGTATGTTATGTTTTCCAACCACAGTTTATGATAACATGTAAGAAATCACATCTAAGATAAAGACATTCAAATCACCACTGGTATGAGGGTACTACCTTGCATTTTGATGGCACCTGTATTTAAAAATAAAATTAAAAGTAAATCACCAAGGGAGACCCATAGGTAATTCAAACACAAACATTTAGATGACTTACGAATATTTTTCTCGACATAAAACTGAAAATTCTTAATAATTTTTTTATTACCATCTATAGTAGGATCGTAGGTATTCGATGTAAAGTAGAGCAAAAAATTGTCGGCCTTTTATCAAAGGAAAATCGTGTCATCATTTTTAGGAGGCGTAAGATGAATAATTTCAAATTTAAAATGAAATTGAATGTAAAATCTGAAATACCGCTGCATACGCACTGTGTTCTGGTACTAGCTGTAGTCGGCCAGGTGCATCGAGTGTACGAAGTGGTCGGTTATACATCAAATACTAACCTGCCGATCTTGATCGTAAAGCAGGGAACAATAAACAGTGGCGCGTACAGAGGTGAAATGTAGTACATATGTGGAATTTAAATAACGAATTGGATTTATAAATAAATTACATTTAAAACAAATAGTTTATGAGAATAAAGGGATTTTTGTAGGAACAGGGTTCCAGACGTGAACTGATCCCTTCATCGCACCCCATTACGATTCTTTTTTTTTATAAGGAGAACGAAGTTTCAAAGCAAAAACCTTGTATAACAGATATACTATAAATATTTACAGAATGAAAACAAAATATAAATCCTATGATATGATTCTATCAAATGAAAACACTAACAACAATTCTCTATCAATCTCAACAAAATAAATTATTTTTCTTTCAAACAAGAAATATTAACAAATTATAAACAAAATATAAATTCTATGATTTATGTACTGTACGCCGAACTGCATTTTTCTCATATTCATTTAATATTAATTTCTTCTTTCCACCCCCTTTTTTAGGTTTCTTGACGTCTCCTTCATTTTTCTTCTATCTTAAAATTTTGAAAACAGATGATTCGCTTACTCCAGTACCTATATCTAGAACAAATTTCCACCAAACCAGTCTTCAGTTTCATGGGATGATCCTTTTCTAAAGAGTTATAGACATTTAATATTATCGTTTTTTCTCTGTAACTTAATACAGATTTTTTTACCCACAGCAGTACATCCACAGCTGAACATCCAGGCACCCCCTCAATTTCTCCATATAACGACAACAGAGCAATAATAATACAAAAAACTTCACTTCACTAGCACAGAAAATATAATAGCGTTCACGATTCACAAACACCAGCCCGAAACACACACATAGCACACAAATAAAACACTAAAAACGTTGTTACGAAGCACAAGAAATATGATTTCACTCACAAATTCTTAAATAATAGCGCGAAACACATACAGCCCGAACGAAATATAATTGCAATTTGCACTTATAATAGTTATAACCCCTAATACAACCGAAACGAAACTGACTAGGGAATTCTGTGACTAGGGTCCGAGAACTTATACTTGAAAATATGGGGAAACTGTGAACCACGCGACTTGAGATGGATATACATACAAGTTGGGGAAAGAGTCTATAGATGTCGCCACAAAGATTTTGTAGAATAAATTTTGACAATTGCAATTATGAATCCGCCATTATTCCATGGCTAGAAATTGGCCTCAATGATTTGGGATCGAGGGGGATTATCCCTCTTTATCCTGCAATTATGAATCATTTCATGTCATTCATGTTGTTCATGTTTATTGTTGGTTAGGTTTGGCGAGTGTTGGTGTGTGTTTTATTTGTGTTTTTAGTGTGTTTTATTAGATATTTCATTCACATTTATTTATATAACATAATAATGTCTGATCACATTTTTTTATTAATAATAAAATGTTTTGTTTTTTTGTTTTTTTTAATAAAAAATGTGATCAGAGGTAGGTACTTTTTTTATGGATATTAACACAACGAAAAATTTAAAGTTGCATAATAAATCTCTATTACAAGAATTAATCAAAGATTGGTTTAGTAAAATTATTTACTTGTAATATTTTTTTATTCACCGTGAAACCTAATACAATTAGAAAGCACTGAAACTCTATAATCATTTCCACTCTTTTTTTTCAAAATATGTACTGAAATTTGAAATTTTTTCAACAAACATTTTAAAAAGTTACAGTATCAAAATTATTTCTTATTTTAAGTAGGAAGACTACTAGAGCATTTAAAAGTGTATTTAATGCTTGAGTGATTTTAATGCTTTTTATCAAATGTACTTATTTTCTCATGGTGACAAAAATTATCTACGTGAAAATTATTTTACAAAACACATTTCTGAGTGATCTGTGTAGGGTGAGATTTGTTATGTAATTTTAAATTTAGCGGCGGCAGAATACCTAAAACAAATATTGGATAGGTATATAGTTGTAGAGCGTACAACTAGATGGCGCTTGCATCTTTTACCGGCTACAGGTAATTTAACTCACGTACCCGATAATTCCTAGAAAAGGAAAGAAATAGAAGTTGGAGAAAGTGTCAACAGTTAGCGCTGTTAATGACCACGAAATCTGTTCAAGTTTCCTATCTATAGTATCATTTATCTAGGAAACTGACCACGCCGGGCCGGCACGCGCGCCGCCGCAGCAAACACAAGACACAAGTCATATGAGGGAGGATGAAGGGAGTAATAAACGTATCGTTGCCCTGCCGCCCAATGTGCGAAGGAGATGCCTTTGTTTTTAATTTTGTCCTTCATAAATATATAACTATTAATCCATAATGCATAAAGAAATTATTCAATTTCAAAAACCCCCTAAAACGTGTTGCACTGATTCCCTTGACAGGCAATGATTTATTACTTTGCATCGAATATGATCCTACTTTAGATGGGTGGACAGACAAAAATAGGGATAGTTCTGAGATACCCATAGATCTCTTGCCAATGTATTTCGAAATTGGGAGAATCTACGAATATTTTTTCCGGTACTTATAAAACTGAAACTTTTGCTTAACGTTTTTAAATAACATTTTTTTGTGAACATAAAGTTAAAATAATTGTTCTGAACATTTTTAAATGATAATTTTTACTACCATCTAAAGGCGGTCAGATAAAAATAGAGGTTTCTCTGAATTACCCAAAGGCCCTCTTTGCCGACATGTAAATTGTAAAGATGCCATCAACATACAAGTGTATGTATAATGTGCCGCTCACGTTAGCAATGATTTGAACTCGTGCATCTCAGAGGAGATTTCTACACGTTATAAACTGTAAAACTGGAAAACCGTAGATAACAAACATTTATAGTAGGTATAAGGAAGTTTCTGTGGCAACCAAAAACAAACTAATTTTGTTTTATACCGAGAACATAGAGGTCACTAAGAATACCTGATCCTTTGTTTTTTTTTGAAAATTTTGTTTGTAGAAATTTAAAAAAAAACACTGGTTTTTATGAAATGTCACTTTATTGTTCAGTTCATTTTTTAAATTTTACTCGAAAATCAGGCTTTTTTTCGAAAAACATAAGAGAGTAGAATGGTTGTTACCCTAAAGTAGTGGCGTACTATTTAGAAAAATATGCCACCCATACCATGTATCTCCGCCACCGGAGCATGTAAATTTTAGGAAAAACTTTCAGATTATGGATAATGTTTACATAAATACATGTGCCCAATTTCAAATTGTTTCACTTACTAGTTTTTAAATTATCTAAACAAATTTAAAATATTTTTTGAAGTTTAACACCCTGTATCTTTTTAACGAAGCGTCCTAGATAGAAACTTTATAGGTAAGACTCCCCTTAAAATTCACCAATGAATATGAATATCATCACCCTGTATACCTTTTTTACATTAATAATGTGGTTTCATAAATGACCTGCGTTTTTAAAAAAATTCTACCAACACAAATTGGC